ATGCACCCCACTGGATTAAGCAAGTGTAATCCAATTTTTCTTGAACTAAACCATATAAAATAAATCTCAAAGAAATTAGCACAAAATGAAACCATTTCTAATTTGCTGCAATGAATTCCCACAAGATCAAGCTAGCTCAAATGCAATGTGATCAAGGTAGGGAGACATAAAATTCTTCAAACTGGAATCAGGCCAGTTCCAATTATATTAGGTGAGTTTGGACCGGTTTTGATGAAGAGAAATAAAACTGGTCCTGAAGAGGTTAAATTGAATCTAAAAAAAAATTCTTTTTTACCCCAGTTCAGAATTGGCTCTAATTGCATTAAGGGGATTAGAATACTTTACGTTGTATCAATCCATTTCCAGTTGGATTAGATCAATGTGAATGGGGCAAGGTTGACTCTGGTCAGCTTGAACCAACCAGACCAGATTCCAGTTAAAATGGAATCAAACTTTATCACCCTAGGTTAATTTCTGAGCTGTCTCGGATATGTATATGTCACAGAGACATATGTATGTGTCACAATGTATGTGTCACTGTGGCAAAAGCCACCAATCACCCGCCAGTGCCCATCCTCATATTTTTCTTTGCTACTAACAGAACTACTTATCTGGTTGTGGCCATCAACATATATACGGCTTTAAAACACCCACAAACATAAGCAAACAAAAAATGCTGTATTTCCCATTCTTCCCAGAAGAGAAAGTGTGGCAAATGAAGGGGTGGTGGGTAGCTCCTAGGAAAGTTTCTTTCTATTTTTACTGCCTAAAAGTTGGAGATGGCTAGAACCACAGTTCGCAGATTATGCCCATGAATAAAACTTGATGAATGAATCCATCTCTAAGGATGGCAGAGTGAAAATACAGAAGGATCTGGGGTCCCTGACAATAGCAGGGAGATACCATCCAGCCATCAGCACCCCTTCCAAATCTCCCCAACATTCACCAATCCTGCTCAAGGCTTTGGTCGTAAGCACCTGTATTCTCAAATCCTTGTCTGTGTCTGCTTGCTGGGTAACCAAATGTAAGATACCAACTCCAGATTATCTATGTTGGGACTCCTTTCAATAGAGAAAAATAAACCCCTCCAATGAAACCACAATTAATTGTGTTGTCTTATGTATGCTACTAAATCTCATCCTCTTTGATCCAGTTAACAATGTGATACTTCTTGAAGTTCAAATCACTTTATGTTACTAGATCTTTTTCTAATGAAGAGCTGCTGTTAAAAGTCAAAAGCCAAAATAGGAACTTAAAAGTGTCTATGCTAGCCAACCAGTTGAATATTTTTCAACCAATTGAATAAAGTCTGCTAACTGCTAGAAGAAATACTGAAAATGATTTACTAAATGCTTACTTTTAGCAAATAAAATTTTAATGAGAAATTTTGATAATGGCCTTTAATGATGAATAAATTGCCAATTCTACAGGAAATCTGTTTTCACCTGACCTGTCCCCAGCTTTTGATATGGTTGATCATTTCCTCCTTCTCCAAAACTGTTTCTTTACTTGGCCTGTGGGTGACCACTCTCTTGGTTCTTTCTCTGCCTCATTGGCTGTTCCTTTATGATCTTCAATGCTGGTCCTCTTCATCTTGAGCTCAAGTCCCAGCTCTCAGTCCTTGCCTCTCCTTTTATATCTGTGATCTAGATTTTAATCTAGATCTAGATCTTTAGATGATCTCATGCAGTCCCATAATTTCAATTAACATCCCTATGCTGGTGGTTCTCAAACTTATAACGTTAGCCTATCCCACCTGAAATTGAGACTCAAAAGTAATTCTTTACAACAGATCTGGTTGGCTGGCATAAACACGTCAAATTTTACATGACCCAAAATAGGTTAAACTCCTCTTCTCACACTCTTCCTCTCGACACATGGCAATTCCTTTCCTATAGTTGCCCAGGCCAAAAGTGCGTGAAACTCTCCTGAAGCCTCCCCACTTCTCCTGGAGCATTCCATTCCATCAGCCAACCCTATCAGTTCTACCTGATATGGTAGAACTATAAATGCCTCCAGAATCAGACCCCTTTTTGTCACTTTCCTCATTGTGACTCTACCATCATTTCTTGTTTGATCTATTGCCATTGCCCCCTGTTTGGTCTCCCTGAATCCACGCCTGACCACAGACACCTTATTCTCCAAACAGTAATCAAAGTGATCCTTCTAAGGGCACCTGGTTGGCTCAGTTAGTTGAGGGTCTGACTCTTGATTTTGGTTCAGTTCATGATCCCAGGGCCATGGGATCGAGCCCTGAGTCGGGCTCCATGCTGAGAGTGGACCCTGCTTAAGATTCTCTCTCTCTCTCTCTCTCTCTCTTTTTCTCTGCCCTTCCCTCCCCATCTCTTTCTCTCTCAAATTAAAAAAAAAAAAGAGTGACCCTTCTAAAATATAAGTTGAATCACGTCAATACCCTGTTGAGATTGTCCAATGTATTCCTGTCTAAATCTAAGTCCCCACCCACAGGGCCCAGTGTACTGACTCCCAGATACTTCTGTGATGGCATCATCTACCACTCACTCTATGATTCCCTCTGCTCCAGCCTCCCTTACCTCCACAGTGGTCCTTGACAACTATGAGTACAGCTCCTCAGACCCTTCACTTACCATACCCTCCATCTAGAATGCCCTTCCCCCAGACACCCAGATGCTTCTCTCCCTCACTTCCTTAGTCTTCCCTCAAATGTCACCTTATTAAAGAGGCCCTACCCCAACCAACTTTTCTCCAATAACACACCCTTCTCTCCTCTCCATACTCTTTCCCTTTGTTCTCCTTAATTTTTCCTCAAAATTCTTATTACCACCTGACTTGTTACATATTTATTTGTCTGCCTCAGCTAGACTGAAAGCCGCAGAGGAGCAGGGAATTTGTCTCATTCACTGCCTATCCCCGGCACCCAGATAATTGCCCAGGACATACTAGGCACACCACTGATATGCTCAATGAGTGAATGAATTACACTTAACCTTCTACTGGAAAATTATTCTTGACCAGTCAAACACATGATTGGGTGTGGTATATCTGAATACGTGAAGGAAAAAAGAATGGAATTTTTAAAGTATCTGGTAACAGTTGTTCTTTTCATTCATCGGGGAACTATCAGCTCTTGAGAAAAGGCCCAATGGGAGCTGAACTGTGGCTATCAGGCTCCTGAGGCTTGCCTCGTGTAGGTAGGAAAGGAGACTAAACAAGAGGTAAATCTCTACTTTGCTAGAACTGCTTTTTCCATTTATTCAAGATGCTGGCTACAAAACAGACAGCTTCCAACCTACTCTCTCAATTATTCAGCTAAAACGCCAGAGGAACTCAATTTGCTTCTCAAATGTATTGGGAAAATCCAGTCAAGACGAGATGACAGGAAGAGAAAAGTCAATAACACTCAGTGTGCACTAATGTTGCTTTTTATTTAATGAAACCTGAGTTATAGCAAATATCAATTTCAGGAACGTTTTATGTAGACATTAAAACAAAAGAAGCAACAAGATATGTAAAACACACACACATACGCGCGCACACACACAAATAGTTATCACCAGAGAAGAAAGTAATTCAGAGAAAGATTAAAGTATTTTTTGACCGATGGAGAATCTGAGAAAGCACACACCTTGAAGTGAAAATGTGGAATAAGAGCATAGTACACATCTGCTTTTTACTCCTCAAACTGATAATCAGCGAAAGTTAACAATATCATATGAAAGTTTACTGAATACGCAAAGTCTAATACTCTTCACTCTTTTGCCTTCCAAATCAGACTCACAGCCTTACCTTGTGCAACTCTGTACTCACCCCTCTGAATTCTGTTTCTTAGTCAAATAGAATTCTCCTAGAAATCCAGGACCAGGGTCAGAGATGGACTTACAATCACCCGCTCCCAAGAGGAACAGAGGAGGTGTCTGCACTGAAAGGCCTCCAATTCCCAAATTCTCTGCCTAATAAAAACCACTTAATAGTCTACACTGACGTTTTAAAGCTTGATAAAGGGAATGTTGTATAACCCTGGACTTCATTCTGGTTATTTCCTATGAGCAGAGAATAAGATAAGAAATGGGCCCCTCACGCTGAAAGAGGTACATAGTTGGAGACATCACTATCTAATGTCTACTCCAAGCAAACGGCAAAAGTACTTTAGGAAGTGAATTAGTACTATTGCTTTGATTGAAAAGGCAATGCTACTAAGTGTTTGTCTTTATCCTCATCTCTAATTCATGTACTTTAGAATAGATAACGGCTAATTTTACCTTTTGAGAATAAACACTCAGCTGCATAAAAGATACATCTGTGTAAAGTAAACATCTTAAATAGTTTCCCTTTTTGAAAAATAGGTATGCCTCTGATGCCTCTAAACATTTGTGCTACAGATGCCACGGCTGTATTTTCAAACCGGTTCTGGGGTCACTGAAATATTAGCTAACTCTTGGCTGGCAAAACATCGCAGTTGCTATTCAGTCTTCACAAGGCTTCACTAAACTACCAGACTCGGATTTTACCTTGCCTTGGAATCACCCGGAAAGCTACTTACAATATAGAGCCCTGAGTCTCACTTCAAATATAAAAGGTCTGATTCCGTAGGTCTAGGGCGGGGCTGAGAATTTGCATTTTTAACAACTTCCCAGGCAATGTTGACGCTGCTAGTGTAGGGACCGCCATTTTGAGAACCACCTCTTTCAACTGTTAATTTATATCTTCTTTAAAAGAGCAATTGAAGCTTAGAACCCAGGCCCTATTGGTACTTCCTAAATAAACTCTCTTCGAGGCTGCGTCCTAAAGACAATTTTTAAGCAAATCAATTGTTTCACTTCCTCCTTTCTAGCAACACTAGCGCCCCGGCAGCTAAAGAATCCTTGACACTATTTGCTTAGCATTTCCGCTTTGACAGGCCAGGCCAGGGCATCCTTCTTATTTCTCACCAGAAAAACCACAGCCTCCACATCCCCAGATACCCTGGATTTGGAAGCCTCCCCAGGACAGGACCCATGCCTCTGGGGAACCAAAAGCCACAGCTACATGTCTCTTCCCAGTAGGTCTATCTCATCCAGGAGGAAGTCCATGTCCTCTCGGCTCACTTGAGGGCTGATCACCACCTGGCGGAAGAAGTTGACCTTTCCCCGGTGGGGCTGGTAGCCCAGCATCAGGCTTCCCTTCTTCATCATCCGCTCCTTGATGGTCGGGGCCACCTGCACGGGCGAGAGGAGGGAGGCAGTAAAAGACCAGAGCACATTCCCGCTGCCTTCCAAACAAGCATCTGATACTCAATGGCATCCACCGTGGATCCCACTCTCTTGCACACAACGAGGTCAATGTTCATAATAATCTCCTGAGGACTTATGGCATATGAAGGTCAATCCAAGGGCTTTAGATCAGTTAATTCATTTAACCTTTATGGTGACATCATGAGGGCGATACGGATATCCTCATTTGTGGATGAGGAAATTAAGGTGTGAGGATATTACACAGTCTGAGGTCCCATGTTCAGGAAAAGTCAGTGAAAGAGCAGGTGGCCTCACCCAAGCCCATACTTTGAACCCCAAATCATTAGGCAATGCTGTCTCACTCAGAACAAATCAGCTGTCCCCAGAAAGCATGGACTTAAAAGTGTCAAATGTTACATTGTCTGTGCTAAAAAATGCTCCAATTCGTCATCTTTTTTTTTTTTTTAAGTTTTATTTAAGTTTGAGAAATGGAGAAAGAGACCGAGGGGGGAGAAGGAGAGAGAGGAAGAATCCCAAGCAAGCTTCACACTGTCAGCATGGAGCCTGACGAGGGGCTAGAACTCACAAACCCTGAGACCGTGACCTGAGCCGAAATCAATAGTGAGATGCTTAAGCGGCTGAGTCACCCAAAGGCCTCTCCAGTTTAGGCATCTCAAATAAAGAAAAGTAGTCTTGGGTGGGAACACACACACACACACAAAGTCTTACACTGATAGTCTACAAAGGAGAACACTAATACAGATATTATGCATGGTTCTATTTTGAAGACTAATATTTTATTAGTTTATTAATAGTGAAACATAAACCCTTTTTTATTCAGAGGCATAAAGGTGGGAAAAAAGAAGCCCCTACTTAAAGATTTCCAGGTAATATGGGGAAAATGGGACCTGATTATCCAAATGTACAAATTTTTCTAAAAGCTTAATGTTGGAAGAAATTAGTCCAATTTAAGAACCAAATGGGAGAACGAGTCCATTTTCATATCGGTAATGTGACCACCCAAGAACTTGGTTATAAACTTTTAGAAGGGCAAAGCTGATCTTTGAAATACCAAGTTAAAAAAATTAAGAGTGCACTCTTTCTGACTTGGAAAGGCAAGCAAAGGTTTTCCATTTTCCTTTTATTTTAACTGTTTCAACATTTCTGAGTGTGTCTACATGAACATATGATGAAAATATAATGAGTTTCTGACCTCGTGTTCTCAGAAAGATGAGACTTACTTAATCCAGAAGGGAAGAGACCATACATAAATAACACGAAACATGATGAGCTTTGAAATTCCTTAGGTAAGGGGCAAAATTCCCCATTCCCGTGAACCTATTTCAGGGTGTGATCCCTCCCACACCTTTCTAGTCTTCAAACATATCTATGTTTTGCCACTTACTCCCCTGAAAACAAGCCAGACTACTTTATCTGACACTCCACATAACCTTACTCTATTACAAAGCTTATGGAAAAATCAGATGTTTTAGACCTCTACAGGGCTCACCCACAGAGCCCTCCAGGGTTGTGCAAGGATAATTTTAACTAAGGACTTCTTTCCCGTATGTGCTAATTTTAGAACCGAAATCTTGCATAACACAGACTATTCTGTGTCTACAACAGCAAAAACAAACATGCGCTAAGCACAACCACATTGCCAATCTAGCAAAGTATTGGAGTTCTCTCACCGTATAATGAGACATGAGAAGAAAAATCTATGAGTGTAAAAGAAAAAAATGTAGAAAAAGAAGATGAAGCCAGAGGTCAAGGTAGCGAAAAAATATGAACAATCAAGTTCTATAGATGTTGGAAATATGTCACAAATTTGATCTGAGCTCTTTAGAGATTTGAAAAGCAGGGTTAAACAAACATCATCTCCAATCTCTTTGCAGAATTTAGCAACAAATGTTCAGTGGATGCTAAAAGGGAGAAAGTAGGGAATATTCTACATTCCGATGCTCTGTGCATAGCTATTTTAAATACTTAAATATGAATGCTCCAAGCATCCGCTGAGGTTTCCTGCAAAGCTCTTTACTTAAGTATTATTTGTTACTGGAATTATAAAAATCTTGTGAAATGAAACACAAGCAAATGAAAGGTGAGTGCAAAAAAAGAGAGTGCTTTCCATAACTAAGTTGAATGCTTTGGAAAGTCTGGATAAAGGGTAAGGGGTTGCTAAACGTCGATGCAAATCAGGTGCAAGAACAGAACTGGAAAAGCCTCTGAGCAGAATCCAGAGTCTACACTGATTGTGCCCACAGAGGACCACACAGATGCCACGCCCTCACCCTCCTTACAGAAACCAGGGCTGGACTGGACAGATGATTCCCGTAGTTAATGTAAGAAGAGTAAAGGCCCTTTGATCATCAGACCCCTACTGGAGAAAAAAACCCTCACTTGCTTTTGGAAAGCTTTTAGAAAAATCCTCACTCGACAGGGAAAAGAAAACAGCAGTTTTCCATGGAAAGATGGGGAAATAAACGCACATGGAAATATTTTAAGGTAAAATGTTTAAGTCATGTATTCATCACATTTTTTGGGGGGATTATTTGCTGTAACTGACCCATCCTTATCACCCTGCATAAGAGGGTTTCTGGTGTGAATGTCGATGTGAATGCGTGCGTGTAAATGTATGTATGCGTGTGTGCCCACATGTGTGCACAAGCACGTGTAAATTACACTTTTAACCCACTGTATGTCACTTAGTGCTGTTCAAAATCTTCCTATTTTGGGGCGCCTGGGTAGCTCAGTCGGTTGGGCAGCCAACTTCGGCTCAGGTCATGATCTCATGGTTAATGGGTTCAAGCCCCACGTCGGGCTCTGTCCTGACAGCCAGCTCAGAGCCTGAAGCCTGCTTCAGATTGTGTCTCCCTCTCTCTCTGACCCTCCCCTGCTCACGCTGTCTCTCTCTCTCTTAGAAATAAATAAAAATTAAAAAAAATTTTTTTTAAATATTTTAAAAAGTTTTCCTGTTTTGTTACAAAGCAACAAAGAACCATGGTTTGACTTAGGCTCATGACAAAGGCACATTTAGTTTTATTTCAAATAACAAGTGGCTTCTTGAATGTAAACTGAAGGTATGAGGGAGAAACACAATACTGCCATTGCTGATAAGTATAGAAAGACCTGGGTCACATAACACAAATGTCCAGCCAGGAGAGTCACAGACTAGCAGTTTTAGAGCTTATGGACTGTGGTTCTACACACTTTTTTTTTTTTTTAATAAATTTCCTTTCATATTCATCTCCATCTTCTTCTTGGTACCCAGGGGTATGTAACAGGCTCTGGATTATAGCCAATTTTAAATTTAAAACAGGCATATTCTTGGCTCCAGCCTAGTTTGCATTGTCTATTCCTGTTTACTTTTCAACAAGCCTATTTCCCTCTTCCCAATGATATTTTATGCCTTTCCTTTGGAGAGCATTAGAATTTGGATCCCAGCTCATAAAGTGTCAGAGGCTCACATGAGGCAATTATCAAAATGAATCTGCCAGGTTTGCATTTCTTGCAAGCAAACCAAAAATATTCTCTCATGTGAACAAGAAAGATAAAAGAGGGCCCATCGGCTCTTTTAATATAAAGATATTTTGGGTCTTTACAATTCTTGCCATTGTAGAATGGGCCTCCACGGCAAAATACATGGCATGGGAACCAAACCTCTAAGCCAGATTTTGCCACCGATGCTCAAAACTTATAAATAAATGACTAAATATATATGGGACTCAGAGAACAAACTAAGCAAAGGTTTAGCAGGACAACACGTATTTTATTTATGTACCTATGAATATATGATTAATTCCCAGAGGTAATTAACCACTCCTAGGCAAGAGGGGAAGAGCTCCTTTATCTATGAAGCCTTCGTGGGCAACAAGTCGTAAGCCACACCAGGGCTGATATTCACTAAATCTCTGTCACAAATGATAATTGTGGCAGTGGCACTGGTTTATTGTCATCTCCAACAAATATTTTACCAACTCTTGACCATTTCCAATGTGCTTTCACATATCTGATTCCCATGAACTCACATTAAAGCTTATTTAAAAAGAACCTGTGATTTTGCAATTTAGAGACCAAGAATGGTCTCATTAACAGCCACTTTATCGAATTTGCACCTAAAAAAAAAAAAAAACCATCCATTTTCTATTTATAAAACTCCACGTGCAATCCAGTGCTGGATAAACCTGGATATTCTCTTTTGCTGATCGAAGCAGAGAAAGAGTCCCAATCCGACAGGATGGAATATTCACAGGGGAAAGAAAATATGCACAAACTAAATGTAAGTATCTGAATATCGCCCCTAAATGGAGCATGCATGGAGGAAAGCAATTTGGCAGGAGTGAGATTGCTTTCCAGCTCTCAATTATTTTACTGTTGGTTTTCCTTCAAATTGTAAATCAAATTCTTTTCGCATGCCTCAGTGCTCTGGTCCCTGCATCTTAAGCGGAGGAAGATCCTGACATTTCTATGTGGTTGCACAGAAACTTAATCGACACGTTTTGTAGGAGTGCTGTTCCCTCCACCATCCCCATCCCCACCTTAAATTATGTCCCAGCAATGATTTAGTCATTTACACAGAATTTTGTTGTCACAGTCCTGCAGCATAAAATAGCATTCAATACTTAAAAGTTGCTCACACCCAAGTGAAAAATAGAAAGCAAAACTCTCTCATTCTGGCCAAGTACAGTGATTTGCTAACATGTAACTGACCGGACACCAGCATAGCCTTTCGTGAAAATAAAACTCTAATGCCCATAAAATGGTGTTTCTTCTTAAAAATTTTTAACATATTTAAGGTTGACTACAACACATTTTCAATACACAAAGTGTCTCTCAGATTCTCTGGGAGGAGGTTTATCTTGTCCAATGCATTACCGAAATACTTTTGTGAAATGCAATGAATGCCAACTATTGATTGAAAATGAATTACTTAATAAATATGCAGTAAAAAAGACAGAATAACTATAAGCCCATTAAAATTTTTT